ACATTAGGGGGGGGGGGGGGATTTCTTACCGTTAATATGTGACCTAGATGCAAATGGAGCGAGTTCATTTAGTTAAAAGCAAATCTTTATACAAAAATTAGAAATACCATACACATGTGGAGCATTTGTCTTTTTCTCAAGTGACGTAGGGGAGTTTTTAAATTAACAAAGCATTCAGTGAAAGTATGGCCTGATATACTTCTGGCTTGTGGCAGACTTGATTAATTTCATAGTGTGAACTGTGAATTTGTAATCAAATCAGACTTGAATGGTAAGCTGGAGCCTGTATGGGTTATTATATTTACATGTCAAGAATTCCTCCTGGTTGTTTTCATAATAAGTACATCTTCTGCTTTTCTGTACTTCTGGAATGCCTGCCAGCATCAGGGCAGGAACAGATCTCTGGAACAGGCCCTTCTATTTGCTTTATGTATCTTACTTTTCAGTGCCTCTTCTATTTCTGCAGTCCATTTTCAGCGTGGTTGACATCTGGGTCAGTTACTATTGTATATGTATAACATTGCTCTCTGTGGTGCCATATCTGGTGTTGATCTTGTTACATGGCCAAACCAATTGGTCTGTTGTCTACTGATAAAGTTCAGTACTGGTTCCATGCCGACCCTCTTTCTGATACCATTGTGTCCTAAGTAATAAGTAGATGATGGTTAGGAAAAGGGTGGTTGGGAGGGGAGGGGGGGTTGCAGTGCAGGAATTTTTAATGAATACAAAGTGTGGGATAAAATAGTGTTGCTTTGAAGATGGGATGTCCTCTTCTAAGTTGGAAAGTGAAAGCTGTCTTTACTGACTGCATTTACCACTGTTAAGATTGTGTAAAAGGGGGGGGGGGGGGGCTGTGGTTGTAAAGGCACATAGCTAGTGCAGTCGTCATGCTCTGGGCAGGTTAGGATTGTGAGTTTGTCACTGACAGAATATTATTTCTTACCGAGGATTGAACCTGGGTCTCTCATATAAGAGCCCACTGCACTAACCACTTGGCCAGCCGCTCCTCCTTCATGCTTTTACAGAGCTGATTCAAACATGGTGTGGACTGTTGATTTTCATAAAATATTGAAAATAAAAAGGTCAGCTTAGAGAATTTATCAGTGAAGTCATTCATATCATTGTTTTGTTCAGTATAGGATATAAATGTTTTTAATATGTAGGCGTAGGATGGAGAGAAAGAATGAGAGCAAGAAAGAGAGAGAGATAGAGAGAGAGAGAGGAGGTTAAAAAGAGACAGTGTGAAACTGAGTGTAAAAGTGAATGAGAAATGGTATATCAATCACTTATAAGACTTTTTTTTTTTTAAAAACACAGTGGTGAGGGAGATGTATGTTAGAGGTGTGGAGGAGTGACTTTGAGGCTGCAGTGTCTGCACTGGCTTGTGCGGATTTGCTTCATTTCATAATATTCGAGAATAGTATACTCACCATAGGAATATGGTCTAGATCCCCATGAAGGTCCTGGAACCCAATTTTGATCTGAAGGGAGAGGAAGGAATAGATCAGCAGGCTACCCCCTTCCCCAACAGTCATGTTGTAATAAAAAGTGACTAATTAGAGGCAAAAGAAACCCTGAAACAGATACTGGTGAGAGGGGCTAAAGCTGCTGGACTGGATTCCATCTATGGTATCAAACTAATTGCACTGAATAGAATGGAATGGAGGAATAGACTGTGAGCCCTATGTGACATATAAAGGTGCAACAGGACAATGAAAATTAAATTAGAGGTTTGCTAGAGTCATGTCTTGGGTCGAAAAAGTGCAGATTTCTCTGCCTTGTTGTAAACCACAATACCCTTTGACAGGCAAATGCAGAAGAAGAAGAAGAACATCTAGGCTTCTTGAATGAAGGTAAAAAACTTGTACAGATGGGTTGAGATGTTATACAATTTTAAATTACCTTGGTATAAACAACAGAAGACCAGATAAACAGTTAAATTTCATATTAGAATAAATATCCACAACAAAAAATAGAAATAATAATGTATAATAATTTTAGCAAGCTTTTTTTATACACATATTTTAATCCTTGCTGGTGCTTTGGGGTTTGTGTGCTGTGCTGCAATTCTCTTTGTGTGATCTATGATGCAAGGAGACTGAGGCACTTATGGAGATGTCTGTGTGCAGTGCAAGTGAGCCTTAACCAAAAATTAACTAATCAACATGATAAATGTTGGTGAGTAACTGAGTCAGAAAAGAAAGTTTAAACATAAAGTGATCCTTAAACCAAAAATGACCTAATCAGTTTGAACATGAAGTAAATCTTAAACCAAAAATTAACTAATCAACCTAAGAATTGTTGGGCAGTAAGTGAGTCAGGAAATAAAGTTTGAATATATAGTGATCCTTAACCAAAATAAAAGTTTATTTATCAGCATAGTAATCGTTTGGGAATAACTGAGTCACAAAATTAGGTTGGAATATATTGTGATCTTTAACCCAAAAAATTAAATAAGCTTACCCTTATAAGTGATCCTTAACCCAGAGTCAGTTTTGAAGTAAACATTCCTTGATGCAGATTCAAACCCCAGATCTTCAGGCTAGCAGGGAAGCATCTAGCCTCTATGCTACTGTGGCTGCCTTGATGTAAATTAATGGAAAAAGTCAGTCATGAGTTTGGCAATGTGTTTCTGTGCATTAGACTGTTTTGGTAGACACTATTAAAGTAGGTACCAGTAATATTCCTAAAGAATGTCTGTAGACAAGCAGAAACTATAGAAGGTACAAGTAAAATTATCAGAGAATTTCTGTAGAAGAGTAGAAACTACTATAAAATATACAAGTAATGTTTAAGAGAATGTCTGCAGATAAGTAGAAACTATAGAAGGTATGAGTAATATTTAAATTAAAAATTTTTTTTTAAAATAAAATATAAAAATTGAAGAGCATGTCTGCAGATGAGTAGAAACTATATAAGGTACAAGTAATATTTAACATAATGTCTGCAGACAATCACAAACTATAGAAGGTACAAGTACTGTTATTAGAGAATTTCTATAGAAGAGCAGAAAATACTATAATAGGTACAAGGAATATTTAAGAGAATGTCTGTAGACGAGCAGAAACTATAGAAGGTACAAGTAATATTAGAGACTATCTGAAGATCAGCAGAAACTACTACAGCAGCTACTAGAAAAATAAAAAAAATGCCTGCACACAAGCAAAAACTAGCGTGGCAAGTACTTGTAATATCAGCAGAGATTGTCTGAAGATGAACAGAAACTATACTATAGAAGGTAAAAGTAACACTGACGCTTATAAGCTAGCAGGTCTTAGTTCAAATCTGTATCAGGGTGGATCTTTAATAAAATAATTAAGGCTCCCAGGTTGACTCAGCTTAAAATGGGTACTTGGAAATATCCTAAGAAATAAATGTGACTAAAATGATGTTAACCACAATGTTCATCAATTGCTGATTGGTCTCTGAAAATCTGGGTCTAGCCCAGTGGCTGTCAACCTTCCTAATGCTGCGGCGCTTTAATACAGTTCCCCTTGTTGTGGAGACCCCTACAACTGTTTTTGTTTCTGCTTCATAACTTCAGTGAATATATGTTTTTCTGTGGTCATAGGTGACCCCTGTAAAATGGTCATTCGACCCACAAAAAGGTTGTGACCCACACGTCGAGAATCGCTGGTCTTGCCTAACGCACCAGTGGCTTGTGAAGGGAAGGGTCTTTTACTTGTGCTTACTTTAAAAGGAGTTACTAAGGAATCATTCATTATGCATCAGCTAAAATTGGCTGAGCTCTTTAGTTTTGGCCTGAGTATGTGTAAATTCTATTAACAAATCAAACATGATATATTGTTACAACTTCTCAGTTGTTGAAAACACAAGGATTCACTGTAGCCAGTTACAAAACAGAAAATGTACATTTGAAATATGTCATCAATTGTCTCATTTCCTGTGAAGCGGTATTATGTTCTCCTGAAGCTTTGAAAATGTACATCTGATAAATGTCATCAATTATCTCATCTCCTGTGAAGCGGTATTATGTTACCCTGAAGCTTCTGTTACCTGATTTCTGTTTTCTTACCTGGTAAAACATTGAGTCTACATTATCCCTACCAGCAATGTATGCATGGCATGCATACTCTCAGTACTGCCACTGTTCCACGTTGCAGTTTGTAAAGAATAGTATAAAGATAATTTTTGTTGATTAATTTTAGTCAGTTTATTAATTTTTATTAGCAAAAGTTTAGTGTTCAAGGTATAATCATTTTCTTTATTGAATATTTTGTGTTTAAATTGTTTAACAAGTTATTTATCATTATCATATTTCTCTTCTGTTTTGACATCACATTAATGTGGAATATTGAATATAGACATAGTTGTAACGTTACAGTGACTTTTCAAAAATACTCTTTTTAATCCCTGAGTAAGTTTATTTTAAAAATAATTTTCCTAAAAATCATAATTTCAGAAAGTAGTATTCAAACTATTTTATTCGCATTAAAAACTCTAATTGCATTTTAAACTCGTATTCATTGTAAGCCTCATTGTAAAACTTTCATATATACATTTTTGACATGAAACAACATTTAAAACAGGTTATATATGCTTAAATCACAATTATCTATTATTCTTTTTAAAAATGTATATTGAAAGGTATTAAAATTGTTTGAATAGTTAAACTAAATAATTGACATATTTTTACGAAGTTTAGAATTTTTTAAACTAGGGGTATAATGTTTTTAGTGGTTGTATTTCTTGATGGATTTATATTACTTCATGTGAAGGATAAGTTTAAATAACATCATACCTAGTTTTTATCTGTTAGATTTACCTAATGTTTTAGTCCACATACTAAAGTAAAGACAGTGACAAGGTTACCATTAGACATACAAGATGTTGTAATATTGTAAAAATGTCTACCAAAATCCATGATTCCTTTAACCACCTAACATAAACCTTGTGCCTTCCCTGTACCCCCCCCCCCCCCCCTGTTGATTCTTGTCTCTCCATGCCCTACTGTAATCCAATCGTTGGCATTATTTCAGCTGTAGTGATGACAGCCAGTTAAACTCCAGCCTTGACCGGTACCAACTGGCAGGAGAGAAGTATAAACTGTTACCTCGGAAAAGGGAGAGAGAAACTGTCATAATGGTGGACATACCCAAGTCTCGTCTCTCCATGTAAACTCATGTTCTGCTGTGGCATTTTTTCCTTCTGTTTGCCAGCTACTCATACTAGAAAGTCTAGCTCATTTCCAGTTAGTTTTTGTTAACATAACCTTGAGCCTACATACCTGTTAACCCTATTAAGCAAAAATACATGAAAGGACAATAAGAAAAAAAAATGTGAAGCTTTTAAAAAAAAGTGATAAATTTAGGGAACATGAAAGATCAAATTACCTGCAGAAAATCAAACTGGGATAAATAAGAATATGTTTTGCATATAAACATACGTAATAACTTTCTCAGAATTGAAAAAAGAGGCAGAAGTGCTAGACAGATACAGTTTTTTTTACACATATGGAAAGATTCAATACGCTGCTTAAAAGGCATACTAGAGGTAGAAAAGGTAAGCAAATGAAATATTTTACGCACATAACAAATTAAAAGACTTGCCAGAATCCATATTATCTTATGAAAAAAATAAACAAGAGGTGGAAGATGCAGACAGATAAAAAGTTTATACTTATAAAGAGTTGATACTTAGCTGAAAATATATTTGTATAAAGAGTTAATACTTAACTGAAAATATATTTGTATAAAGAGGTAATACTTAGCTGAAAATATATTTGTCTCTGAAGAAAAATCTAATAAGAAGTAAAAAACATAATGTTGGCACATAAGAAATGTCTAGACGCTCGCGTGCGGATCAAAAATGACCTTGACTCCCAGGTCGACCCAGTGGGTACTGGGTGGAGTCCCTGGAAGTAAAGGTGGCCGGTGTGATGCTGACCACATCACCCATCTTGTGCCGATTGGTCTTAAAAATATAGGTCTAGCCCTATGTGCCTGAAGGCGTGGAAAAGGAACCTTTACTTCTTACTTACATAAAAAATGTATAATAACCTGCTAAAAACCAAGATGCCCTGATGAGAGGCTTACTAGAGGTTGAAAGCCAAATTGCAGGAGGATAACAGAAGCTTGAATGGGAAAATAAATCAGTAGATTAACTAAAACAAGAATATTAAACTTCATGGTGGGAAACAGTAATATTATAAATTATTGCTGCCAAGCTTTCTTGTGAAGATGTCAGCTGATCTCAAATGAACATACAAATAAATACTATACTAGGTTAAGTTAAATTTACTCAAACATCAGCACTTGTCACTGTTGTGAAAGTGGATCATAATGGTGACTCTTAAAACAGAAATCATTATATGATGAATATGACTGGTCTAGCAGTAAGTCAATGAACAACAAGAACAGTGTTATAAGTTTGCGAACAAGACCAATCTTGTAAAAGACACCATCCTTACTGCAGGATCTCAGGTTTATATTAAACTGTAATGATACTTCTGCAATCATTGCCTGAACTTTATAGCAGTTAGTAAACACAGCCTGTGATAAACCTACATAACTGGAAAATGCATGGGTTTTGCTTGGTTTTGACAGGAATATATGAGCAGATAAAAACTAGAAGGGCAAAACCGATACATTTTCTTGGCAAAAATGATAAATAATTAAAACTTGTTCTTATCCATACAAGTTGACAGGCATGAGGCTCACACTAGCTTCCCTAACCCTGTTACATGTAGCATTTGGGGTGGTTGTTTCTCTGTGAGTATTGTTACTGACCCATGACCTGACTGACTAGATTGTGTACTTTTGCTAGCGCCTGCTGCATAGATTCTGTAATTCAGCTGCTGTAGTTCAAGGACTGTTGAATGCCATGTACTGCTCATAATAGTAATTTTAGTAACTTAATATGTTTGTTTTCTGCAGATGAGGGCTGTTATGCCACGCTTAACTTTTTTTTTTAAATACCGCATAATTTTGGCGTCTGTAGCTTAGATGTCCCAAACACGCTTTGTAGTGCTGGGTTCGATCCCAGGAGCGGTCTGTTTGTCTTGCTTTGGTTTCCACAGTGGTATCAAGAGCTTGACTGTTCAGGAAGCAGTGGCAAGCTACTGAATGTAAAATGTGCCTCGCAAAACCACAACAGCCACAAATATACTGGGGTTGATTCTGCAACGTCCTGCAAAGGATATACATCTAACTTTTTAAATTTCCCCATGTTGGTTATGGGGCCCCATTTTTGGGGTTGGGGGCCCTGGGGGCGAGGGGGGGGGGGGTGAGAATAGACCCACACTACTGCCCCTAACAAGCATGTTGTAAAAGGCTACTAATTAGAGATTTATCTGTCAAAGTCAGAGTGCATCTGTCTGAGAGATGAAGACCCAGCAGTCTCATACAAGTAAGCCACATCTGTAAAACAAAATAGATATGTAAGTTCAGGATCAAGACTAAAGTCCAGAAGTGGCCGAACAGCCAGAACTTTCTGCCAGAGAATTCAGCCGATGAACACTAGGATGAACAAGATGGAAGGATAACATCAGAGAAACTCTACAACAGCACGATGTGCCTATGGTCGAGGCGGCCAGAAGAGCTAGAGACAGAACCTTATATCTCCCTCGACACCCATAGCGGTAGAAGAGGAAGTGAAGAAGAAGAAGAAGAAAAAGAACACTAGGGACAAGTAGAAGACACATTTAAGCTCACTAAAAGTTTATTAATTGGTCCAAAGGGAGTGTACATCTTTTTTATTCTTTTCTATTTGATTCTTTTCTATTGTATACAATTGATACATTAACTTATTACCTCCTCATTGTTATTTTAGTTAGTTTCTTCCACTTTAATGTGTTATTATTTTAACTTGTGAACATTCGAACAAACAAAAATAGTTTAAAATTGTCACAGACTAGGCTTTCAGGCCTTTCCAAATATTCATTTTTCACACATCAGTTGTATTTTGTCTACAAAGCGCATTAGGTTCATAGCGTTTATGATAAAATGAATATGAAGCTGAAAAAAAAAAGACAAGGCATAAATATGACTAGTACAAATATTAACATATATAAAAACATATAAACTAATAGACATGCATGCACAGAGCCACATACACATATGAGCACACAGAGAGAGAAAAAAAGAAGCCGTATGCCTACTGATGCATATACTTTCTCACCTGTAGACCTCTGTAACAAATGTAAGCCACTTCACACTTTGAGCCCCAAACAGTGCCTGATGTTTGGGGTTAGGATTTGTATTGTTACCCCTGGCAGAAACAGCCCTACTTTCTGAAAATTGAACCTAGATCTAACCACTCAGCCATACACTGCTTGTATCTTGCATGAAGGAAAATAACCATCTTATTCAGATCAAGGCGTAACTATCATAGCAACTGTACAACTCGTGATATTTCACAGTTGAATTGTACAGTTCATATTTCACAGTTGAATTGTACTATAGAGATAAAGAATAATGCCCACTCAAAATGGACTACAGGATACTAAGAAACCTTTTTGTGGTACCTCGATATAACTGCACTATGTGGCTACATAATGGCAACTTATCACTAACATCAGAAAGAGACGGGAAGAGAAAAACTTGAACATTTTATGACCACTGGAAAGATTTCCACAAAAAAGAGGAAGACAAATGATTCTTGCCAGCCTTTTGTCATGTTAGCACATGAACTGATACTGCTGTCGAAGATCACAGAGAGGCATGATTGACCAGGCCAGTCAGCAAGGTACTTGATGTTGATGATATGGCGGTGTAGTTGAACAGGGCTTCCAGTTTGATTCTAGTCCTTGAGATGGTAATCCTGCAGACAAAAATTCTGGCAGGCGGAGTTAGAATTTTTTTTAAAAACTGATATTTGCATGAAGACCACTAATGAATATAAACAGATATGTGATGCAACTAAACTGTAATGTCTCATTTGTATAGACAGAGGGTGTCACAAAATATATGGCACGAGCTGTGAGTGTTGTCTTTCCAGTTTTATAATTGTGTTGTGTTTCGTTTTCATTGGATTGGTTCGATTATAAAATAGTTCTGAGTTTTAAAAATCTCAACTTTGTATTTTTGTTTGTCGTTTTACATTTTGTTATGATTTTGTTATTCATCTAACAAAATGTGAAGGTATTTATGATATGCATAAGATTTATTGCTGTGGTAGTAATTATTCCTCCACTTTGGAAAAATTACACTCACATTTTGCAGGTACATCCTGATTACTACCAGAATATGTCCAGTGTATCAAATTCTTTCAGGACAGTATTTTGTCTGAGGTTTGGACAGAATTAATTTTGAGCTGAATTTTGTTACTGCAACCTGACAAACTAAAACCTTCCTGAAGAAAAAGTATTGGCTGTATAGTGACAAATAACATATCTAATAATGAGAAACAAATACAGAATACATCTAACTTATTTAAGGTTCAGTATTGGAAAAACCATGGCCAGCTCCAGATTTTTATAAGGCCGTACAGCTCGAACGGGAATTCCCGTTCTTGTGCAAGAATTGAGTCCCTCTGCATCCACAGTTTTTATCGAGATGTATACACAAATTAAACTACAGTTTCATTAATTTTCGACATATTTTTTTAGAACTATACGTCATTTTTAAGGTAAATAAGTGTGCTGAATAAATATAACAATAAAGGCTCTTACAGACAAACAAAAATGCTTTTGCTACAGTCAACATGACCATAAACATCAATAATGTTTAGATGTAAACTAAAAGTTGTTCCAGCAAAAGTAAAGAAATATCAGTGCTAACTCTTTGATTTTGAGAGGGTATTGTTGCATCAGAGGAGCGGCCCGGGGGGTGGGGGGGGGGGGGGACGGACGACATTTGTACTTTATCAAATTTAGCGCATAAAAATACTGCTATGAAACATACACATATCATACATAACATAAATACAAATAATTGATGGTTATTATTATTATTATTAGTAGACTACTACAACAAATAATTATACTGTTATTTAATAATTAGTAAACAAGCACAATCAGTATGAAATTGATATGTGCAATACTTTTTTCACCCAGAGTAGTTTTCTTAACAGTACTTATAGCACTACTAAATATGTATCCTCAAGGTACAAACAGCACAAACAAATTTGTCCAGTTTCATCATGTTGGATGAAATCAATTCCCTACCATTGCGAA